GCTTCTTCTGCTCGGGGTTCAGGCGCCGACGTGCCCCTCTCCGAGCAGTAGGAGGCGCTGGTTGGGCCGGTTCACCCTCGGCCGGGGTCACGCTGTGCCGCTCACGGGGCGTGTGTGGGTAGGGGGAGGCCACCAATGGCGCCTCGGGACTCCGCAGCCCAGTGTGGGCCGAGGCGGGCCTGGGTCGCCAGGGCCTGGATGCCCCTGGCGCCCCCAGTTCGAGGTCCCTCCGACGAAAGGAGGTGGCCCCCAGGACGCGGGACTGTGCGTTCTTGATGCTGTTCCGGTAGGCGCGGCTGAAGGGGGCGTCCAGCAGGGGCGACTCGGGAGTGGTAGGTCTGTCATCTGGCCAAACAGGCGCCTTCTCGGCCTCGCTTAAGAGCTGGAAGGTGCTCTGGCTGCGGAGGAGGCGAGCATCCCGCCTAGGGGGCTCACCTCGTCGGAGTTGGGGGCCCCGGCCACCATCTGCACCTCTCCTCAGCTGCTGCCCGCATGGCTGCCAGAAAACCTCTTCCGACTTTGACTCTCCGTTTTTGAAGTGCTGCTCCTTACTGCCTAGAGGCTCAATGGATTCAGAAAAACGGATATTGGCTCTTGCCTCCTCAAATTCATTCTCAGAAATACTGGAAGTTGAGACCGTCCTGTTGGGCCTATAGGTATGGCCATAACTGGAGCAACCTACACTTGAGGATTTCTGGCTCCCTTGCTCTCCGCTGCTCAATTCTGGAAACCTTCTCCAGCACTGAACTGTGGGGCTTCCTGTACGGAAAGCCCTGCAGAGCCGAGGTGATGCCAGAGTTGAGCCTCCTTGGGCCCAGACTGGATGTGTGCTGGTACGGTGGGGAAAAGGGCTCTTCGTACCTTGGTTCTGAACTGTGGAAAGAGGCCGAAACGCTAGTTCTCCCCTCGGGTCTTGGATAGGAAACTGGCCTGTCCAGATGGCTCCTGTGGTCAAGACCGACTTTCCTTCCAGGGTCCTCATCCTTGGTGTTGACTATAGAGGCTGGTTTGCCATCTGGGTAGCCTTCCTGAGATCCTCCTCCTAGCTCCAGGCTGCTTTGCCTTCTTAGACTTTCTGGAATGTTCTGGAGAGATGAGAAGGCTGACTTGGTCTTGCCAAAGTTTCTTGACAGGCTCTGGCCTAGGCCTTCTCTCTCCTGCTTCCTCTGGAGGTTGACATTGTGGTCTTCCTGGAAGTCTGCCTCCCAGGGCTCTGAGGGCCTGGAAGATCTATCTTCCACTTGCCAGGCTGGAGCCTGAGGGAGTTTGAGGTTGTGGTGATTAGAATATGGTTTGTTGCTGTGGGTGCTCTTTCTCTCGTTGGAATGTGGGCTGTTGCCTTGAGGAGATGTGAGATGTCTCCTCAGGGAGGTA